TTCCACACTTGACAACGAGTTTGCCAAAACGGATAATTATGGATACCCTAGAAATAGTTTGAAAGAATACAGTCATCACATTAGGTTTTTTTAGCATTTCACCTTCTATCCAACTGTGCAATTCAGAACTCAATGAATTTTATTACTGTGTAACAAGTACATGCTGCATGAGAAAAGCTGCCGTTTATTGTGGTTTTCAATTTCAGCCTGTTTTCAGGATCTTGATGCTTATTGAAGGAACATGCAATTCTACTTTACTTCCCATTAAATACTAATGTAACACATACATACAGAGCAACAGAGAGGTTTCAGTTCAAACTGAGATTTGTGGCTGTGCAGTCCTGTGTGTGCTGCAGAGGAAGCACCTTCTAGATCAACAGGTAAGTGTTATCTGTGTACACAAAGATATGTTACTCTATGTTACTATAACATATACCATAGCATATGTTACTATGGGTTCACAGCTACCACTTTCAGGATACCACGCTACTGGGTTCAGAGATAAACCACATTTCCCTCCACACCACTTTCTCTTGGCATTGCCATAATTGCAAGTTTCCTCATTAGTTTTCTGACACCCCAACAAAGTCTGTTATTTTGTTTCTGTCTCCATTCTATAGACATGGCCTTAAATAATGCCAGGTTTCTCAGATACCCTTGAACTTCAGGACACTGTCAGAAGTAGTGTGTAACTAGAAGTGTGTAACTTCTCTCTGTTGTGGGAGAAAATAAAAGTTAGATTTCTAAATATATATCAAAATATATCTTGTGTTATAGATGGCAGAATTCTTTAAAAGCCTCTACAATTCTGATTCCCTCTGAAATAAGAAAAAAAAAATCAAATAGAAGTTAGGCACAGAAAGGTCTGAAGAAAGGTTTTCTCCTTGTCTTCATGAGCATCTTTTCATTCCTCTCCAAACAAGATGTGAAAAATCCAAAATATAAAGACAGGTTTAAATTTCTGTAGCCAGAAGGAAAAGTGGGAGTAGGGGAATACACAAGACAGCACATTTACATTTAACTAGGAAATTTTTGCATGAGCTATACAGAAGGTGGACTGTGGCTCAAAGAGTGGAAGGGAATAGCCTCTTACAGAAATAATTTTGATGGATGGAACATCCTTTCTGTAAAACAACTGCTATATTTCAAAACTACTTTTGTTAATAAATTCTAACAAAATTAAAGCTCAGCAGGTGAACTAATACACATGAAAAGTGATAAATTATTAAATCTGCTTCCACAAAATAGCATTTGATTAAAATTATTTTAATATTAGTAGCCTTTAAAACATTCTCATTAATTTCAAACTTTAAGGTCCTTAGAGAGTGACATATTTCCTATTTGCCAAAACACTTACTACATACATCTAGTTTCCTATAAAGATAATAAAGAAAGTTATTAGTCAACTTAGTTATTAATAAATATTAATTATTTAATTATATATAATTATAATTAAATTACATTTTAACCAGTTTAACTTAGTTAGTTAAACTAGTTAAAATATAATTTAGAGCTGCACAGGAATCAAGGTAATCATTTTCCTCAGACAACCATATATGATCATACTCAATACACATATAAAAAGACAGATGACAGGGTGCTACAGTACTGCAAAAATATTTGTATTCAAGCTCAGATTCTCACTGTTATTAAGGAGCATATACACACATACTGTACACATGCTCAAATAGGACAAAGGTGTGATCCAGAATTCTATATCAAGAGAGATTTCCTGATTACCATAGGAACAGAGTATGTTTAAGCAGAACATCAGAAACAACATGATCTGCACTAATTTGTCAAGTTATCACCCTTATCATAACTAAGCTGAGACTTGGCATATTTCAAGCTGTAAAAAAATCAAAAGACAACCAGCTGTTAACCAGTATCCCAGAAAATTATTTTAAAAACCAAGGCTTCCAGCATTAACATTCCTTATGTATGTGGCCAAGTTAGGAATAATGAAAGTGATGAGCAGCATTCATGAATTATGTCTAGCCAGACAGAGAAGGCCAAGTGACTTCCTTCAAAAATGGGGAAAAAGGGATGGGCACATAAGGAGGAAAGAAACCATTAGGGATGTGGTATAATTAACACTGCACAAGATGACTTGGAGTATTCTTCCATAAAAAAAAAAAAAAAAAACCAAACAAACCAGGAGAGAGAAACTAAAGAGAGAGGTAAAACAACCTCTTCTGAGGAAAAGTGAAAAATTTATAATGAAAACAAGCAAACAAACAAAAAAAACCCCAGGTGTTTGTGGAAAAAAGAATGGCTTGATTACAAAACATTATCAAGTCTCAAGAAAATCACTAGCAGATTTAGCTTGATGTCATGACCCAATTATTCTGACCACTGTCAGGGAGGAACAACTCACATTTGTTCTCAGTTAAATGACTGGCATGTCCTCATGATTATGAATGACATTTTGTTAGCCTACACTATTTACCAAACCATTGGTTCCCAACATGTGGTCATCAGTGTGATCAGTATGATCCAACTGCTTTGTAAAGCTGTAACTCTGCAATATTTTCAATTAAAAATTCATCATGAAACCTGGTAACCAGAGTAGTTGAGCAACCTCTATTATCAATAGCCAAGAGCTAATAAAAGAAAAGACAAATAAAAAAACCCCATATATATGATTCAAAAGGGGCATGGTAGACTAACAGAGGCGGAACAGAAATTGTAATAAGTTTAACATATGTCATTTGATATAAGAAAGAAAAAAAAATGACAGGCAAAGGACAGGAAAGAGAGGAAAACTATTCAAAAAGTATTTTCACAGACTGCAAAGGTAGGAACATAGGCACAGCTCCAGAAACTTACGCTTTAGGTTGTTGTTGGGTTGCTACAATAAGATGATGAGAGCAAAATGTCATTAAAGCAAAAACATAAAATTTGTGGGTTTTACATCCTTTTCAGAAATAGTCTGGTCTCATGAGAAATACACAAATGAACAAAGATTTGTTATACAGGATTTCAACATGGAACATGCCACAAATTTCTCTTGTTTCATAGCTGTCAAACAGCAGTTTATCATACCATTTTTACTGTCAAAAGGGGAACATAATACAGAATAGCAGCCAGTAAGGTTTATGGTAGCTAAAACACTAAATCAAATCAGCCCTACAAATAGGGACCAAACATTATGCTATATGTACTTCACTACTATAATTATATTAAGATGTAAGGATTCGTGCCACTTTCAAATTAGGAGAAAAACAGATCATATATAGCGCCCCAAACTATTCTCCATAATAGAGAAAAAAATTATGCTTTACTATCACATATTAAAAATATGACTGGAGCACTCTTCAAAATATTAGGAAGAATTTTTAACATAGTTATATTTTAACTACTTTTTCTTACACAGGAAATAAATCATTTAGAGATTACTTGAAAAGTTAACTATTTTTAAATTCCTACTTTATAATTTCTGCTCTGTGATATGGTCAATGCACAGCCCTGCAGGTGAAGTACCTAGCTGCTAAATTATTTCTCAGATCTATTACCCCATGAAACTAAAAATATAAGAAGTCCTGTAACTCTAAACACGCCATTAGTCACAGCAATCTTTCACTCTCTGTAAATTGCTTTTTCTGGAACGTAAAATATTTAGAACACTACTGTTCCACAATTCTCTCACCTGTGGAGACTTCTTGCTCCCTATTTCAAAAATGCACCAACATCTCTAGCACCAGAAGGAGTTTTATTGCATGAAGTTCAAACCCAAGGCTGCCTGTCTTGGAGAAGATTTACCTCAGGACAACTATCAGAGCAGCCTGGCTCACAGAAATGATAGAACAAAAGACACATAACACTTCCCATCTTCAAACATCACAATAAGTGGTAATTTTAACAATAAAAGTTGTTTGCATATACTTGGTATAAGCCAGAAGTAATTAAAATTAGGTCAGTCCAAACTTAGATGGAGCAACTGTTGTAGTATCAGTTCCATGGCTCTACATAAGTAACTAGATTAGGGAGGGAAGGGAAAAAAAATTTAAAAATTAAAAAAAAAAATACACATTTACTACTTCCCTGAATAGGTTTAAGGCTTAAACTTCTTTCATTCATAGATGTATTATAGTCCTGACTGTCTCTATAGCCTCAGTAGCAAGTGTGAAAGAGGGGCAGAGAGAATTAGTTGAAAAGCTGTATGTTGTGTAGGAGCTTGTTTCAATGACAAGCTTCCTCAGGTCATCTCGGCTCACAGGCAGTCAGGACAACTTTTCACAGGCCAGGATGTTCCAGAAGATCGCAGTGACCAAATGGCTGGATATGCCAACATATCTTCAGGGATCCGAACTTGACACAGTTACTCCTGATGCAAGTCAAGTATCTGCCTCCTTGGGTGTAATTTTGAATCTTCTGCAGCAAACTGTGTCTCTTCTCTCATTCCTAGCTGGTGCTTAGCACCTTATAATAGAAATGCTGGGCAAGTCATGTGCATGTGTGCATGCATCTGCATGCACAGATCAGCAGACTTGTTTTTAAACTCCTTACAGCATAAAAGACACTAGGGGACATTTCTCTGCTTTCTCTTATGGAAAAAGACATATTTCCCTGTAGCATTAACACTGTAAAATGCTAGTGCAATTGGTTTTCTTGTTTTGATGACTCCACTGCCAGCTGGGATTGAAACCCACATTTTAGTATCAACTACCACGGAAAAAAACTTACATTAATTAAAAAGCCATAGCAGTAATTTAGGAATTTTTTCAATTGAAGAGACTCTTCAATGGGTATGATCATCTTAAAGAACCTATGTATACCATCTTAAAAGAATTCATACAGAGAATGACTAAAGAATAATGGAGTTTATTTTACTTTTTGCTAAGTGTTAGATATGTAGTCAGTGTGCATTTTCATCAATTAGGCAAGGAACATACTAAATTCTCCCCCATAAGTGGCAGATTACTGCACCGATGAGTCCACTATAAACTAATGATGGTAGTTTCATTTCACTAATTGAAAATTTTAACATTTCATCTCACCTCAATTGTGGGTGGATCTTCTCTCTTTTTTCTTATCCATGCTGAAAAAAAATAAAAATCAAATGGATTATTTCAAAGATCAAAAACAGTATTAAAACTCAAAATTATTATTAATTTGTAACAAAAAGTAAGCATTTATGAAAAAATTACACTAGAATTCACCACAACTTGGCAAACATGTAATTTCCCAAAATGTAGGCACAAGATGTTATTTCCTGTTTCAATACTTGCTCTTCAGAGAAGGGAGAGGTGGGGGATGGTGTCACCCCTATGTAGAAACATTTGCCACGGTTTACATAGCACCTTGGTTGTCAAAACAGGGCTTAAAGAGCAGGGCTTATGGCACAGTCTTATTGTTGAACTTGCAATACAGAGATGAGGTACACCCTAAGAAAATGAGAAGCTGACTAATGGAAAGAACAGCCTTAGACCACTCTGGTGAAAAAGGATTCCTGTACATGCTTCAGACATTCTTAAAGCTGAAAAATTTTCATGTTACTACCAGGTAGAATTCAGGTATGAAAGGTTCAGCCCCAGATCTGAGTGAGGGACTGCAGAGCCTGGACTGAACACATCATGTGGCTCTGTGGGATTGCTCACTGCCAGGAGGGGTGGGTACTGTGAGTGGGAGAAGGATTCACTGGAAAAGGCAGCAGAGGAATGAAGGAATGAAAGCAGGGGCAATGAAAGCTGTCCTGTGGCTCAGGGTTTCTGAATGAGATCCACAGATATTTGCCTACTCCTGTCACTATCACTGCTGTTAGCTGGGACTGTCAGGAGGCAACAATCCAGACACCACATCACAGACACTGACAGGTCTCACTTTGTCAATGAATTAAGAGAGAGAGAGCTCCAACTATTACAGACATTATTTAGACGAATGACCTGACACCACTTTTTAGAAATACCACTACTGTAGCATTTTTTCATGGCTTTTTAATCTACACATTTGTCTCTTCTGCACATATTTTTCAAATTAATTAGAAGCAGAATGCAAACAGCCAGTAATGAACAGAATGACAAACATAAGGAAAGCCACTTCCAAGCGCAGAGATACAGAAAAATGTTATTTCATATGTTTGTTGAGGTAATCAAGATTTTTGTTACTATACTTGAAAATTAGAGCAAAAATAACATTTTGCTATAACACACTCAAATTCCTGGCCTCACCTGTTGCCATCTATAAAATACAGAAATGCTTTAAGAAGTAAATATTATGTATTTTAATTTTCTAATACCATCTGTACTGTATTTTGAAGGGAACCAGGGAATGATTTAGACAAGTCTAAGACACTAAAACCTGCACAGTCATAACATAATCTCATTTCTCAAAAAGCAACTACATAGAAGGTGAAACACTAACAGCAGCAGCAGTATGCAACTGATTTTAAGGAAGAATAGGTTCCAATTAACATAAGAACAAATGGAGATGAAATGGTAGAACAGCCTGGAATTTATCCAGGATGGCAAGGCCAACAGCCTTGGTTAATAGTAAAGTTTAATGGTAAAATACCTGCAAAGATATGAAGCAAGGTAATACTTTTGTTTCTTGTCTATCAGATGCCACTTCTGAAGATATGTAGTTTTAAATGTCTTTCTCAGACTACTTTTCTTAAAAGCAGTCCCTGTCATCTCTTCTCAGCATTCCTAACAAATAAATAGGTCCAAATCCATTGTCCTTGTGGAGAAGTGACAGAGCTATAAAGAGTTAGCATCACACTTTCTGCAAGTTTTATGTCAGTGGAAAGAAAGACAGCCCAATAATGTAATTCAAAATACAACTACGTGACTTTCTATTAAAACTATAGAACTATATAACTTTTTGTATGCACCTGTAGTAGCACTTACAAACATTTAAATTCTACTAGGACTTCAAACTGCAAAATCTGGTAAGATGAAAGACTAAACTGAGACTGTCACTTCCCAGCTGGCAGCCTTTCATACAGTCTGTAACAAAACCAACCATGCTATTGAAGAAAATCTTATCACATAAGCATTTCCTCCTGAAGGAAGTTACCTTTGTCCATACTCAGCAACAGTTTCAGATTACTGAAATACTTGGCAACATCATTCAGAAAAAATGTGAAAAGCAGTAGAGATTTCAGATACAGCAAAGTATGTATACTAAACACTAATCAATAAAACATACAGCTGGAGGAAGGCAAAAATACTAGTTCAAAATGTCTCATAAAAAGTAAAGCATAAATCATCAAAATTTAACAGATTACTTTCAACGAAATATCATCTACTTTGCCATGCCTTGCTTCTGACCTATGGAAGGATAGTACCACTGTTTTCTATCCCACAGCTATCAACATGTAAAAATTGCTTTACTTTATTTGAAATTGCCTGTATTTTCTTAAAACACCAGCTGCATTTTAATTTCAGATCATTATAATAACTGATCCTCAAAGAAAAAATTTGAAATAAAAATTAAGCTGCAGCCAAAAAGTACTGCTGAAATATAAACAGTACAATAGATTTTCTTTCAAGACCACTTGTGACTTTTAGCAGGTTTTGACTAATGATTTTCAGATGAATGGAATACTTCTAGTTAATTATTTTATAATTTAATTATCTACCTCATTTTAAAAGCTGCAAACAAAACAGTGAAGGGTAACACAATCACATATGTCCTGTGAACAAAGGCCGTGAAATAAGGACCACTCCACAATACATTTTCATTCATTAACTGAACTCAGTACCAACACTCAAAAGCAAAGAAACAAACGTTATTTTAGGAAGAGTTTTCGTATCAAACATTCCATAATAGAACTGCATCTATTTAAATACATAAATAATGCACACAGTTTTAACACTGCGCTCTTTTTCTTTCCAGTTATAACAACACTTGAATACTTGGTTTTATTTGAGCTATTAACCTTTCTGTTTTCTAATAAATGTCAGGGGTACAAATCTTTTTCAGCTTAACGGTACATAAAACTTGTTGGCACAAATATTGATACCATTTTCTGAATTACTACAAGTACATTAATTTTAATATCTCCCATGAACTGCATAAGAAAGTCATTATTAAATGAAAGATTTCTTCACTGCCATGTAGCTGAGGGAGGAATATAGCATGAAAACTTACTAAAATCTTTGTAAATCCATAAGATGAATTTAGTTAGACTTAACGTTATCACACTTGTCTGTGCAAATCCACTTCTCAAATATTCTTCATAAAGCTCAAGAAGAAATATGAGCTTAAAAGCAAAGAAAACATCATCTGATTTCAGTATATTTTAGCACACTGCATTTAGCATCCACTAGTTTGATCAGTCTTTCAAAAGAAACACATTTTACTAATAATTCACCTGACCACTTAATCTTTGGGGCTAAGAATGGGAGAACTCTTAATTCACACCAGTTTTTATGTTGTCTTTGAGATAGGAGAATTTTTAAAAGCCTTTAAAATCCTTGACTTTTAAGTTATCGATAAAATTTTGAGCACCCAACACACAGTTCAAAAAAAGCACCAACACCTCATAACTCAGGTGTAAGAGAAATTCATGGTAGCATAGGGAGAATGAAGGTGTACAAAAATATAACTGATTTCCTACTGAGTTAGCACTACGTTTAACAAAATTCAAGTAAATAATATGTTGAAGTTATATATTTTGCATTCTCTTTATGTATCTGCATATATCCAGACACAAAATACATATATCTGTGTATACAGTTGAGTAAAGAAAAAGTTCTTGTACCTTTCTTAATGATCTGCATTACACCTTCAGTGAATGCACTTTTAAATTACTCAACAGCTTTATACTATAGTCAAATATTTGTTCATGGAAACAAGGTAGGTAGGTAGGTGCTATATTACATTATATTTGAACAACATATGCACACACACATATATATATATAATTAAAAGTTGACAGTTATAGCTGGGAAAAAGTTTTTCATTACATTCCCATTCCCCAAGCTAACAAAACAAAATGCCTTCACCATTGTCAGCCAAGATATTTTCAATCTGGCAGAGAAGGTAAAATGTATGTACTGAGTGCAACCACAACATCCCCCCTGCACACCAAAGCTTTGGCAAAATGAATCATTGTCCCCATTTAAAACTGCTGCTTCTAATTTTATCTGGATGTACTCATGTTAATTCTACCTTTGTCTAAAAGGAATTTGGCAAGTAAGTTGGACATTTCCTACCTTGAGACATTCGCATTCTTTCATCAGCACTCATTTGCATTCTTATTAGTATGCATGAAATTTTCATTGAACTTTAGGTCTCCTACTGGTAGATAACACACTGCAATGGCCATAGAAAGTGAACATACAAATTAGGACTCCCATTAATCACTAAATGTTACCAAGAAAAAGAAAAGAGACATTATGAGTAGATGGCAATAAAATGCAGTAAGAAGCACATCTTCTCTGAATCTCTGTGGTATGTAAAATTTCAGATGTCCCCTCATGAGCACTACTGACATGTCTTGAGGAAGTAAATATTTGAGTAGGTGAACATTCAGAACTAAAATACAGAAATGTTATCTGTTGTATGCATCCATACTGCCTAAGAAAAAGTAGGCACTCACACTCTGAAGTAAAATATAAGAGACTTCACTGAAACAAAACCAGGCAATATTTGTATTATTATTGTATACAAATATTGGTATATGGATTGCATTCTAAATTTAAAACTACAGCACAAGAGGGAATACACTTTTGGATTTTTAAAATTAAAATTAAAGGTGTACAAAGAGCTAACACTGAGGATAACACAAGGGATTCTGTTTTAGCTTTACAGAAGCCTTAATGTACATTTCAGAACTTTTAATAATATTCAGAGGTCTGAGAATGTAGATAATTCAATCCTCCAGAGCACTGAAAACTAACATCTTTAGGATAAAATTTCCAGATGAGTCCTTCAGGAGTAAACCCTTGGCCTTGTATTCACTAAACTCCCAGGATCAGTACACAAACAACCTCTCCAGAGTCAAAGAAACAGCTTGCACAGGTTGAGTCTGTGATCTAGATGATGCTTTATAGCTTTCTACTTGGTCTCCTTTACTTTATTACAAGTTTAAAACTTGATAAACACACTACCAGAATCAGTTCCTTATGTTACCAGCTGTCCAAGTTGCATGTCTTAGGTACAGAATGAGATTTAACTTGTCCCCTCTTCCAATTTCTTTACAGCCTGTTCCACTCCTTACACTATCCTTTGTCCCTGGTTTCATGTAAGCTCTCCTCAGACAAGTGATATCTGTAAGTATTTCCAGGGACGGTACTTTCATTAATTTTGGTCATAAGAGGTTTCTTTTTCTAGTCATACAGTCAGTTGTACAGTTGTGCAGGGTAACAAAGAAAGGGAAAGGGTGCTGGAATGACTGCTTTTAAATGAGGTGGCCATTTAGAACTGTCCACAAGTAAAAAACCCTGAGTCCTGGCAGGACAAAGACAGTGCAGGTAAAAGCAGCTCTCTCCAGGTCTCAAGAAAAGGAGGAGATAAGGCAACAGACTCTTCAGCACAGTCCTAAAAGTGAAAAGCCTGAGAGGAATAGGAAGGAGAGCCAGCCAAAACTTAAGCAGAGGCCATGGATATCAAAGTACATACACAGGGTTTGGAGAAAAGGCACCTGGAGATGTAAGTGTGTGCCCAGCTGAGTCCAAGAGCAAAGAGAAAACAAAGTAGGAAATATTAAATAAGATTCTAACCTTATATTTATCTTTTACTGTTCAGAGGAAACAGCAAGTATTTTGGAACTCCTTCAGCAAAGTCTCAGGCTATTTGCTGGAATGATCAGCATCCATAATAGCACGAATTATAACGTGAACACCCACAGAAAAAATGTACTGGGATATTTTCAAGCATCTGGACAGAAGACACACAGTGAAAGTTCAGCACAGGTCCTGTGGGCCTGGAAAACTTCTAGGCCAATGTTAAAGAGGAAAAAATTGGGATAGAAATGTAATGAGCATTTCAGCAAAGAGTGTCTAAAAATCTTGAATTAAACTTTTTTTACTCAGATAACTGTCTTCTATAGTTGTATTTGAACTACTACTACACTTTCCATTCCTTATAATTTTCAACTAATTAATAATTTCTTTTTTACAGGAGGCAAAAAAGAAATAGTGATAAATCGAAATTCAGAGCATCTTAAATCCCTTACACCCCACAATATGTAGCCAAGACATAATAGGTCTTTCAACAGCTTCTCCACCCACAGCAGAAGTACCAGTTTTGGCTTGTTAAAATTCTACATCCATAAAACCATTTGCAAAGGTTACACTAGCATTGGACAAAAAAGTACAGGCTAGCCTTTTTTCTGGAATTCCCATCTTTATCTCTCAGAAGCATACACTATGCACCCTTCTGGTTAATAAATGCACTGGGGAAAAAAGCATGCATGTATATCTTCTTTCTAGAGAAATTCAGTAGTGTTGTGGTTGAGGAATGGGACTCCCCAATTTACTTCTCCCACAAAAGTTGCCCAAACCACAGTGCCAACCGCTTGCTCCCTCTCCCCTCCTCTTCCACCCTTCCCCACTGAGGGTGGCCAGGGAGGAGGATGGGAGGCACAAAAGGGAAAGATCATGGAGTGAGAGAACAATTTACTGGAAACAGCAGTAAGAAAAGAAAACAAACATAAATTAATACTCATAATAAAAGCATACAAAAGAGAGGGCAATTTACACGCAAAATGCTCACCAAGGATGATGTGAGATGACCACAGCCATGTTTTTTCCCAATCAGAAGCCACACCCTTTTTCTCAGAAGCCAGATTCTCCTTCCCCTACTCCCAGCAATCACCTAAGGCAGCATGGTATAACATCTGGATCCTGGCCACACCCGGTTAGCCACACCGTCTCTTGGTGATTGCAAAAATTAACTCCATCCTTGGCCAAAATCAGGACAAGTACTTAAGAGGAAAAGACTATTACTCAATCTGAAAACTGCAAATTTTCCTTTCCTCTCTGAATTCTTTGCTGACAATGTATTTGTATTTGCTGACAACATCACAAAGACAAAACCCCACAGTTACGAAGATGAGGAAGTTATGCAATAAAAATGTAAACACAGCTCATAACAACAGGACTGGCCAGGTTATTGCTTCTTCTCTAAAACAAATCTGAACAGGATGCCTTGATTTGAAAAGTGTGTCCCAGGTCTGCCAGCTGCACCGTTTTAGACAAGGTCCATACACCCTTGAGAGTACATGGTATTTGAATTTAAGGTCTTGTCACACACAACATCCCAAAAATCTGCAACTTTCAAGGCACCACACTGTCAAATCCCACGGATTTGTGCTAAATTTCTGAAGAGAGATATAGCAGAGGATTTTTAGTGCTACACAGATCCCAATAGCATGAAGCAATGGGTTTGTATAGCAATTTGGTTGAACACTGCAGTCTAACCCCATTAAGAAAAGGATTATTAGCCCACACCCATCTGAGACAGTCTGACTGTCCACGTTGTGTTCCTGTTAATTCCAGACAAGTGCAGACAGAGACTACCAAATTGTCCTGGATGAGAATTCCTTCACAGGAGAGCAGAGTTACCTGAACCTTCATATATGCTTCATATATGCTTCTTGGTGTCCGTGGTGCAGTGTTTGCATGACAGTCACAGAGAACTAAGATGAGCTCTGATAGTTAGAGAACTTTTAGACAAGGAAAAAGACCTTCAGAAAGCTGGATGAATAGCATCCATCCATTCAAGCACCAGATGATTTAGTTAGGACAGGCCTATCAGGCTGCTGCTCTCCTTCAGCAGATGGCTCTATTGGACTGACAAAGCAGCAGAAACAGCTAGAGCAAGACTTGCCAAACCCCTGTGGGTACTGCAGCAGTCAAAGACTGTTGATACCGTGGTTTCACCATAGCTGGCAAACACTGCCAATAGTGTTGAAACACTTTCAGAAGCTTTCTGCTCTTAATACTAGCCTCAGTTGATCACAGCAAAAATCCTAGGAATTAGTGTAATGACAATGATAAAAAACAAGGTAAGAATGTTTTCTATTTCTCCACTGACTCCATTAAGGGAAATAATGGGCCTGAAGTTTTCTTTTTGTTCAGTATCATCTCCCTCAGAGAAGAGCATTAAGCATAAAGGAAAGAAAATGAGGTAAACAAGTATAATAAGATATTTCCTCCAAACATGTTGTAGACTGTTTATCAGTAATATCTGTATATATTATATAAGAACAATTTTTCTTCTACCAATACTTTTAACCTCTTACTAACTCATTCAAACTTCCAGCAAGTAGAATAGTTCATGACAAGGAATTCCAGAGCTAAATTACACACTGCTTAAAATCTGTTTGCTTTAAACCTAACAATTTCTGAGAGATGTCTAGGTATTTTACTCTCCCAAAAGCATGTTGAGTAATGGGTAGCCTCTACATAGGATTTCAGGGATTCCTTGCTCATACTATTTCAGGGATTCCTTGCTTATGCTGCAGAATCCTGGATTTTAAGTCACATTTAACCCCATACTTGGCTCAAGCACCTAACAACTTCAAAGACCAACATATACTCCTCTTGTTTTTCTCTAAGAGCTGATCAGCTAATCCTAAGGAAATGCACTAGCTTCCCTGAAATGTTTATTACATCACAAATTTTCAGACAAGGATTTAATCAGTAGCACTTGGACAAGACGGTTACTTATTAACATGTTCTCCAACTCTCTACTACATTGTGCACGAGAGAATATAGGAAACCAAATACACCATAAAAAAAGCAGCCCCATCACTGGTGACACCAATATGCACATCAACTGACCTACATATTAACACTGCAGTGAAGGAATAATAATGAAGTTTTGTTTTATTTAATGCACTTCATGCTGGTTATTCAATCAGATTCTCCACAGGAATAAATGTTTTCACATTTAATAGGAGTAAGTCATCTCCACATAGGCTTTACTTTCATTAAATGCTAAGTACTGACTTCTCAAACAAAATTTATCCTATTTTTAAAGAGGCTACTTCAAGAATTCATATTGTTACGCAGTTAAATAAAAGCCTGCCTTACCAAAAATGAAAGATAAGAAGTTACTTGTTCACATAGTCAGGCTTTCTATTAAAAATACAGAGCCTACATTCAATGCCAAAATTTTCTTGAAATAAAACCAAAATATTTACCTTCCCATTCTGTTGGAAAGTCACCAATTTGATACTGATATGCTTCACGATTTACTGCTTCTACAAATCTTCTTTCCGGTATAATCTGCCCTAAAGCAGAAAAAAAAGAATGAAAAATACATATATTTATATTATATATTTTCTATATAATCTTATACAGCTACATAAAAATATATTATATAAATATTTTATTATACTTATATCTTTTTATACAATAGGTATTTTATATTCTATATTTCTATATAAATTTATAATTGCTGATCACCTTATCATCTTGAAAGAATGTATTTATTCACGTGAGTGCAATGACATACAGGATGAAAATGCAAGATTAAAATACTGAGAAAATTATTACCATCTAGACATCAGTTTGAAATATTATATTTCAGTAACTTCAAGAAAAGCTTCCATGTTCTATTTTGAAGTTACTTGTATTATTGGTTATGAAAAACAGGACTCAAAGTTCACTGGGTTAGGTTTGCAAAGTTATGAGGTCACATCATCTCCAACCACTGTCATCTGCCTTGTGCTTGTGAGACTTTTCACAATTACCTATAAACTAAATATTTTCTTTGTTAAAAACCAAAAACCAGAAGGTAGGAATCTGACAGGGAACACTCAGTATATTGAAAGGGGAGACAGTGTGGGGAACTTGAGTCTACATCCCACATTCTGATTGTATTACTGCCAACAAAGAATTAAAAACTTTGAACTGTAAGGTGGAACACAGCAGATTGACTGTCAGATTTTATGCTACTTTATGGTGAGAGAGTATTTTAAATTGCTTTTTAAAGCAGCAGGTACTGGAAATATATATAAGGTTCCCATCCCTCATAGGGGAAAAACCCAACAGTATTCCCTAGGCTCTTTCTACCAGCTTCTTCTCTTCCCGGGGTGCTGATAAGCAGAAATTTGACATTTTGAGGAAACATTTAGTATATCTGAACAAAATATTTTATTTCATAATGAAGTGATTAATGTGGTTCATTCCTTCAGTATGCTTTCAACAAGTTTAAAATAACTGAAGTTATTTTAAAATTGATACCAGTTGGGACTTGGAACCATTAGTAGCTAAACTTCACACTATTATTCGTTATTAAGTATTCAATAAAATAAAATAAGAACTTGTATATAATGTGAAATTCATTTTTTTAAAGATTTTTCTTTAGCTTTATATTTTATTTTTAAGCAATGCAACATTTTTATTTCTTCAAGATATGCAATCAGGCAAAGAATATTGTGTAGAATGCGTTCATCTTCAAAATTAGATATTTTTAATCAATGTTGGAAGTTATGCGATTTATACTTATTTGTTTTGTAAGTATACAATTCCTATAAGTTGATGAAATTAGAGTTCATACCTAGCTGTAATACAATTTTTTTTTCAACAACACCATGGATGATTTTTTTTTCTTACACTGCTCATCTACAACAGTGATGAACTGTTCTTCATCAACAAAAAAAAACAAAAACAAAAACTACAGAATTACTTTCTTCCCATGCAGAAGATTTCCAGAAAAGCTGAAGAGGTATCTAATTAGGGCTGATCCTATACAAGTCTCAGAAAAAACCACTCTTCTCCAATCTTGTAAAGTTACTACACTTTACTGTAAGAACAGCACCTTTTAAAAAACTGTTCTTAATTTGAGTATTACACCATCTGAATAAAGCACCATTAGAAAGAGTAGTGAAGACATCACAACTTGTGACTGATATTATTAAACAAAATATTCCACTTCTTATTCTGCTGCAAGCTTTCACAAAACTCACATAAAAACTCATCCTCCAGATCCCACAAATCACACTGTAGAGCCAAACTCAGAAATTATTTCCCAAACATGTTATTTTGAGTACTTCTGGTGGCTTTTAAGCCTCTCTATATTTGTGATACACACATGACACTAATTAACTTCAACTGTCTGATTTGCCTTATCCCCTAGGTTTCTTTTGCAGACACCACTGACAATTTACATAGGCTTTTGAAGGGAAGATCACACTGAGGCCTCTTCAGATGTAATTAAAACATTTTACAGTTTAGGAAAGTGTTTTTCATACTAAAGATTGCCTTTATTGAATGTTCTGCTTCCTATTAATTCATCCCCGTATTTTCAAACAAATACTTGGGTCTTTGCTACACCAATGTAAGAAACTTCACTTGTAAGAGCATACATAAAAAACAATTAAAAATAGCACCATCAAAACAGTTTTAACTTTAAAATTAACCTCATTTTCATGTGACCACCGGATGTTAGAAGCACTGAAGAACCATAAATTGATCAAGTTGGGATTATATACGTAACACAATATATCCAATTGCATCTTAAAAAAATAGCAGGTCACTTCAGAAAGAATTTAGCAGATGTACAGAACAGTAACACAGAATATCAGATACAACATCATTTTACACTGAACGCCAAAGTAGCCAAGATTTGCAGGAGTTTTCAAGCCTGCAAAAGGGCCAAGAAGACTACATAATTAACAGATCTCTCAGCAAATGATACAGTATTTACATATATTACATTTATATATTTTCTCACTTTGCATATTTTCTCAAAACCTTTCAGTCCCAGTCTATTGAAAAACTAATGCTTCATGGCTGAAATGAATTTGTATAAAAGTCCCAAAACAAAAGTGTTTAGCAGAAGTTTGTGACCTGCTGGCATAAGAAGAGGATAGTCAAATCCAGCAAAGGAAATACTCAGTGAAACATTAAGGGGTAGCCAAAGTATAATGAAGCAGTTTCTAAATTTCTACAGTCTTATCTATACATGAAGGAGACCAGAAACCAGGTTATATTTTCACAAAAATTCCCATGGTTAACAGTAGATAAGCACAGATGTTTTAAAATTAATATTTTAATTTTTCAGTAACTTCTAAGGAAGAGTGTTTCTATGGGCAAAATATCCTAGTTAATCCACGACAGTCATTAAATATTATATATATGTATTTACATTTAGAAAAAGCCATTGAAGAACCTTTCAAATGAAATTAATGAATCTCAAAATTGTGGTGTTCTATGAACAGATTATTACTATTCTGACACCAATTTTGGGGGAAAAAATGTATACACACTAAAGATCTTCAGGAGCCCTAGCTTGATTTTCACTGTTTACAAAAGCATTATTTGAAAATTATTTCCTGTTAACCCTCAAACAAGTTTGTACAATGTGTACAGCTAAACAAACTATGGCACACATAATGAGTGAGAGCAGAAATGGGACCAGGAACAGGGAACTGGATGTTTCTGGTACTTGAACTGAGCTACCTGAACAAGAGCTCCTGCCAGGTATAAAATATTGGCATGTTTTGCAGTATGCAAATCGAAATAGGATCTCCTTCTCACACACTACTATGTGAAAGTAACAATTCCCATTCAAAATGAATGAACATCAGACGTTCATGAGAACTCAGGACCAGGACTCTTTTGGCTCGCTCATTGCAACATCTGCATGCTAAGAGTCCATGGAAGAAACACTCCACTAAGATGTTGGTTTTTTTTTTTTTAATGCACAGACTGAACTTGCAGCCTTTGTGAATTTCAGGCAAATGATTTTGCACAGCAGCACTCTAAACTTCATGATGAAACATGCATTTCTAAAGCATACCTTTTTACTGAAGTGCTCTGTAATTTGAAGAGACTAAATTGTACTTCATTCACTAACAGCCTATTATTTCCTTGTCACCAACCCAACATAAACTTCACTTACTCAAAACAAAGGTTTCTAAATTTTTTTCAGCAATATCTTACAACACTTAAGTAACAGGTCATCCATTTATTTTCTGTTTGGTAACCACCACATAAACTGTAGTTTTTGCTAAATATGAAGTAGTACTTCAATTACCAAAGCACCTGAACTATGAGCAGTTCTTAATACCAAGCAAAGGAAGAACTACTTCTCTAAAAGTAACAAAAACATCTATAGGGTGCAGAATTTTCACATCTATAGGCTGCAGGAGCAGCCCATCACTATAAGAACAGGATCAAGAGTTTTCATCTCCACTGAAGAATGGAAAAGTTTGTTATAAAAGACAACCCTTTTAAAGGTGAGTATTAGTTTGTGAAAGCCACTATCTTTTCTTTGCATAGATTTTTAGCTGAGAGAGTCTGTTCACTGATGACTGTGTTTATGTTACCTCATGATCATATTTCCAGTGTTTCTGCAATAATTATCTTTACTTTAGGAAAGATATAAATATTTTAAAATAATATTTTTTCCCCAAAGAATTATGGGGTTTTTTTCCAAATTTAGACTGCTATGAGGTTAATTAACTTTTGCTTAGTGACAAATTAATAACTTCCAACAGTTCATTATATTCATTCATACAATAAATACAATATCCTGAAATACAAAAAACATTAAGTATTTGAACCTAACATCTATCACTTACAGATGTAGTTACATTTTCCCCAATAAATAACACATTTGAAATCATCTAATATGCTTTATGCTTTATAAAACCATAACAGAAATACATTTTAACTTTTAAGAGCCAGCAAGGCCACAGATGTTTGATAGTTCTGATTTCCATTAACCTGAAATTAACCAGATCAATTATTTCCAGTTTTACAGCAATGCAGGATCAAGCAATATTACACTTTTTAGGCGCTAACTCAGCCAGTCCATACGAGCTGTAAACACCAGGCACTCACAGTCAAGAACTGTGTTTCAGTTTTGCTACTTATATTTACATTTTAATAGCAATACATTTGGCTTTCCAGAGTTGCCTGCAAGTACTAATTTCTTTCCAAAGTAAGACACATTTCCTCAGACTTCAGAAAATTTGAAGCCAGGGAAATTGTTTCAATTTTTGGGAGCATGTACTGTCAAAGAAAAAGGCTGACATACACTACAAAAATCAAAAAACAAAGTCCCTTTTCACTTCCCAAAAGGATTGCCAGCTGACAAAGTCAGTAACTTCCTCTGGGATCAGTGCCCATGGAGCTCATGGATATTCATACAAATCTTGTGTTTTGAAAACCTGCTGTATCTTAGGCTGTGGCATTTAAATTAAGTAATATTTGTTCGAGAAACAATTTCTTTAAAGGGACAGAAAAATCCTTCTGCTAAATATCCACTGCCATTGTAGCC